GTTTGGGGAGTTTACTCTGTGATGGACGCAAGTATTTGAATGTCACAGATTATTTAGTGAGGGTCGTGAAGCCTTCGCAAACTTGTCTCATGCGCGTCGTCCATCCACCTCTGTTAATGACGATAACATTGAGAAAGTTAAAGAAAAACTGCTTGTAAATTATTGTGTTGGCAACAGAGAGATAACACAGGGTCACGACATCCTTTGTGGATTGCCGGAATTTGGTTAATATTTCGGGTATAAAGTGTACCAATGACTCGTAGACAAACTCGTACCAAAGTAGCTGAATTTTTGGCAAAAACGACGTCGAGTGGCGGTCGCAAAAGAGGTGCTTGACAACGTAGCTGAGGACTCTACTTTCATTAAACACATCATTGCTGATGACGAGACTTGTATTTATAAATATGACGTCGAAACGGTGCAAAAATATAATGAAAGACGCTCCAAAAATTTGCCGAAACCGAAAAAAGGCAAAAGGAGCCCATTTTAAAGGCGATGATAAAAATCTATGTTAAAATACGTGAAATTGTTGTTTTTTTTTCAGTCCGCGTCAAATATGATCAGATGATATCTGGATGCCTCATTAAAGTAGTAAGTATATGTAGTCTTCCTATGCTGCTTGTTCGATTCGCCACTCTCAAAAGTTTGCTGAATCGAAAACAGCTAATTTTAAATAAATTTCACTTTATTTAAGATTTTCGATTATGACAAAATATAGACATGACTTTTTGTAATCGTGTTTTGTGAGTTAAAACGGTTTGGAAGAATTTTCAGGTGTCTAAAGTGTCTAAATCTCTACATTATCAGTTGAACGTGACATTAATATCGATTGTGTTAGTTTGTTTAGTCTCAAAAGTAGCTTTTATTCATTTCCTTCCATTCATTCTTCATATTCTAAAAAATTTGGATTAAAAAATCGCTTAATGTGTGTGATTTTTGGAAAAAAATAAAATTTTTTAACCTCACTTTTAAAGTAAATTTCGAGTTAAAATTTTTATTTCGTAAAATATTTTTTATAAGTGTTCCAGAAGCTGCGGAGAGTCCTCTTTCTGACCAATTAAAAGTTATCAACTTAAAAAAAATTTTTGGAGTCATTATTGGAGTTTTAAAAAAAGTCTTAAGCAACAACATGCTTTCTTTAAGCGTTAAAATAAATTTTGAGTCAAAAGCCGTCAATTTCGGTAATTTTTATATAAATGTAAAGAGCTTAACCAAAAAAAATTTTCTTTTGTTCAAAAAAAGTTTTTACTCGAAATTTACTTTAAAAGTGAGTAAGCCGCCTCTAGATGTTAAACAAATTTTTTTTTCCAAAAATTTTCTTGTTTTATAATCTATAAATTTTGCCCTCAGGCTAACTACAAAAAAAAATTTTCTTTCCACCCTAATATACATTCATTTGCCTCTTTTCTTTAGCTTCTGTTTTATTTTTATTATTATTTTTTATTCATCTTATTCTTCATTAAATATTTATTATAATATTTTTCACCAACCGTCGCACCCTTTATATTTTGCACTAATTAATATAAATACCCAGTCATATTTTATACACCATGCCACATTAACCTTTTGAATTTTTCTCGACACTTTTTGTTTGCGGGGCTTTAAGCTCTTTGACACCTGTCATCCTTTATGTAGCAACCCGCTATACCCACCAATTGGCCATAAGACATCCACATATGATACATACATGTGTATACATATGTTTATTTCTTTGTCTGCCTTCATTCAAATAGCATTTGTTGTTGCTCCTTTTATTTGCTGCATATGTGGCCAAAATTTCATTTTCAAAGTTGGCAGCTCGCGTGTATCTTTCAAATTTTCACACGCAAGCAGTCAGCCGTCGCTGAGCGTTTATAAGAGCGTTGGCTTATATACATACATATGTATGTATATATGTTTGTATGTATGTGTGCGTGCGCAAGTGTTTGCTGTTTCTTGAACACATTTGTTGTTTCATATATAATCGTGTGTCAAAAATTGGTGTTGTCAATTTTGTTGTACACAGTCGTCACTCGTCGAAGCGCCTTCTTCCTTGTCGGTTGGTTGCATAATATGAGACATGAATACGCATACTTACTAATATGTATATATGTATGTCAGTAAATTTGCATATTTATTTATATTTTATGTACATTTTTATGTTTGTAATCTTGCGGAATAAAATTTGAATTGCACTTTCATTTTTGATTTCCTGCTGCAATGTCTGTTTAAAAACTTTGTGCAGAATTTAGATGATTTAATCACATCGCATTTAGTTGGGATTTTCGAAGTTGTTGCTAGAGTTTTCATAATTTCGATACTCTATTTTAAGAACTCAGAATTCATTTGGAAGTTCAAAATCCTCTAAGTATTTTTGTATCAAATAGAGACATAGGAAAAACAAAAACAAAAAAAGTTTGTATGACAGCTATATGCTATGATGGTCCAATCTGAACAATATATTCGGAGATTGTGGAGATTTTTTTGGTAATAATTTATGCCAAATTTCAAGATGACATCTCATCAAATGAAAGAGTTTTCTATACAAGAACTTGATTTTGATCGATCAGTTTGTATGGCAGCTCTATGTAATAGTGGTCCGATCGTACCAATTTGTTTGGAGCTTATAGCATTGCCTTGAAAAAAAATCTGCATCAAATTTTGTGAATATATAGGTTGAAATAAAAAAAAAATTCATAAAATGATTTAAGGGGTCAATTTGTATGGCAGCTATATCCTATAGTATTCCGATTAGAGCAATATGTTCGGAGATTGTAGCGATGTCTTTGATAATAATCTACGCCAAATTTCGTGAAGAAATCTTGTTTGATAAAAAAGCTGTCCATAGAACGACTGGATTTTTATCGGTCAGTTTGTATGACAGCTATGTGCTATAGCGGTCCGATATCAGCGATTTCGACAAAAGAGCAGCCTCTAGGGGAGCAAAAGACGTTTGCGAAATTTCAGATCGATGTCTGAAAAGCTGAGTTTACAGACAGATGGATGGACCCATACGCAAACGTAGCTAAATCGACTCAGTTCGGCACTTGGCTCATTTATATATTTATTAACACGTTATAGGGTGAAAAAATTGTAAGCATAAAAGGTATGGTATATGTTAAGAAGTTCCTTTATGCAACATACCATATGTCAGGTGACATTTGTAGCCCCATTTAAGCCAAATATTTGTATTCTACAAGAATCTACCTCGATATAAAAGAAAGTATATAACTGTATCCTATATTTGCAATTGGAAAATTTGATTTCGATAAAGAGTGTTTGTAGTTCGTGTGGGTGGTTTCTTAAATTATCTTAATTAGTTACACCTAGCTCTGAAAGGTAGTTACCGCCCCTAATGAAATTAGTTACCCTTCAGCAATATAAAATTAAACCGAGAAAACCAATTAATGAATCTCAATGGAATTTTGATGATCTATTGTAATAGAACTAAATTTTTGCCAACAGAAAAATATTCTCTATTATATTATAAATACATTATTTAAAGATAATATACAATTTTATATGTAAGTGTGTTGACACTTAAAAGCTTTTTTATGGGGCAACTAAATCCGTTGAAAATAAGAATTTCGATTTCTTGTCAAGGCAAGAAGGATAACAACGTAGGATTTGTACGCAAGTAGCGTGTACCCTTATTTAGGAAATATAGATTTTTCGGATGACAAAAGCGTTAAAATATACTTATAGTTAGTTAAACCTTTGGATTATAACTTAATAATAGTTTTTGGAGACGCAGTATGATTATATATTTGCTAGCCTTTAACACACAGAAAGGACTTGGCGAAAATATACCGAAAAGTGTGCAGCTTCGTTGAAGAAAAATGCCAATCTTATATCAGTCAAGCTTATTAACGCTGTAGAAGAAAAATTATTGAAGAAAATCGCTTGATTTTCAAGAAGATGGAGACTGTTATTCAGATATTAGGAGTCAATCTAGGAGATACAAAAAACGTAATTTTTTTTGTTTTCAGGAACAATTTAGAGTCCTAAAAGTATTATGGAATTGTTTGTAAAATTAAAAAAAAAACTATACTGATTTAAACTCTTAAGCTATCAGAACTCTTATCGATTTATTTTTGTAAATTTTGTTTCTTATTTACTAATTACTTCTAATTACTTAGTAAACTACTTACAAAGATCCTAAAATATTTGCAGTGTAATAGTCGAGTATCAATATTGGTCTGTCTTATCCATTTTCTTGCTCCATTCTTGCGGTCCCTCGAGAGAAGTTTGCTAAATAATTAATTCTGTATCGTTTGACCTAAATTAATCTGTTAGAAGTTACTAATTTATGTGCAAAATACAATTAACTCACATCTTTCATGCAAAAAGTCTCCCAACCACAATGACAACACTCTTTCTCTCTTAATCATACTCTAATCAGCATGACCTGCTGTGTCACACAGTTTTTGAGAAATCAACCTCAAATTTTTGCACAAGCCTTATTCTCCCTAAGAAGCTGCTTATTAAACGGAATCGCCGATATCGGATCACTATAGCATATAGCTGTCATACAAACTGAAGAATTGAAATCAAGCGCTTGTATGCAAAACTTTGTCATTTCATGAGATATCTTCATGAAATTTTGCATGGATTATTGTCTTAGGCAATGGTTGAATCTCTAAAGAAATTGTTCAGAGCGTATCGCTATAGCATACATACATACATAGGTATATGTAGCTGCCATATAAACTGACCGATCAAAATTCATCACCTAATGTGCCACATTTTTCAATGCTAATTACTTTTAAGAATTGCACACACTTCTTATCCAATAATTTCATTACAGTTAATTTGTGCATGCAACAAACGCAATTCCGCTAATATCAGCGAATATGTTGTTGACAACATTTCAGTGACGCATTTCATTTGAAATTCTTAAACTCGTTAATCGCTATGCTAGCAACACTCGCTACTATGTACATACATGCATATGTATGTATGTATGTATGCGTGTGTGTGTTGGTACTTGCATTTACAATTGTCACTTTTCATCAACTCACCTCAGTCGCAATTAATCACCGGCAGAGCGTGCAGCAGAGAAACTGGTATCCGTTTGACGCGCTCAGTTGATATGCTGCAAAGCCGACGGCATTGTGGCAAGCAAGTTGGATAGTTGCAACAGAATGCCAAGCAATCAAATGGCGCAGTGGATGAATGTGGTTTTTTGTTGCAGCATGAAGTTAGTTTGCTCTTGTTGTTGTTATTAGATTATTTTTTTTTTGTGGTGTTGTGTGTTTTGTTGTTTACTTTTTTGTTGTTGTTGGTTTTTTTTGTTGTTATTGTTGATTATTTTGTTGTTATTGTTGATTTTTTAGTAGTTGATGATTTTTTTGTTGTTGTGGAGTTATTCTTTTGTTGTTGTTGATTTATTTTTTTTGTTGTTGTTGTCTTATCTCTTTTTGTTGTAAGGCGTCGCATATTTTGATTAGAATATGTTAAAAAAATTTAGTGGTTGACTTTTTGCACATTTTGTTGTTTTTTCACTATGTTTTTGTGGCAAATTTGTATTGCTATTATTTTTAATATTATTAACTATTTTATATACATATATTATGTATATATTTTTTTTACTCTTTAATATCTGCTGCAATAAATATTTTCTTTAGTATAAATTATTAAATAAATACAGAAAAAAAATCTGAGTTTTAATTGTTTAACTTGTTGTTGTTATTTGACAAATATTTATAACCTGAAAAGAGTATACTACCACGCAGTTTGTAACACACAGAAAGAGACGTCGGGAACCCTATAATGTATATACATATTTAAATTAACAGCGTGATGAGCTGAGTCAATTTAGCCATGTCCGTCTGTCCATCCGTCTGTATACAGCGATCTAGTCCCTCAGTTTTTAACATCGATCTGAAATTTTGAATACGTCCTATTATTCCCAAGAAGCTGCTTAGTTGTCGGAACCGGCGACTTCGGAGCAGTATACCATAAAGCTGCCATACAAACTGATCCATCAAAATCAAGTCCTTGCATGGAAAACTTATTTAGTGGACGAGATATCTGCACGAAAATTGGCATGGATTATTTTTGAAGGCAAGACTACAATATCTGAAGAAATTTTTTAGATCGGATCACTATAGTTTATAGCTCATATACAAACTGATCGATGAAAATCAAGTTATTTACTTTTTTGTGAAGGGTATATTAGGTGCAACCGAAGTTAATGTTTTTTCTTGTTTTTGTTATTTTTGTAACAATACAATTTCTTTACAACCTGCAAGTACCGTTGTCAACTTATTTGCCACAATGTTGTACGTATGTATATGTAAAGCTTAAATTTTATGAAATAAAAAAATTTACAAAAACAATTTATTACAAAACCGCACGCTGCGAAAAGTTGTGTAAGCGCTGAAATTGAAAGCGGGAAATGTCTCTCTGAATATCAAATAGCTGCTTTTGTTGTTGTTATTAATACTATTGTTGTTATTATTAACATTATTGTTATAGTTGTTGTTATTGTTATTGGTTTTCTACAATTTTAACTTTTTAACTGGCTCATTAGGCTCACGCACTATCATTTACACACATACACAAACACAAACGCACCTTCGCACGCACTCCACACACACATCCACACTATGCAGTTGCAGCAACAAGACGTGCAACACATGTCACCGCCAATGCACAGTAAAAAATACAGGGTGCACATATTGTTGTTGTTGTTGTTGTTGCATTTCAATTGTGCTACGCACCGTGCTGTGAGTTGAGGACTGAGGCAGGTTGCGTTTATCTGTACATTTGTACAAATACATACATGTAAATATATATACATATATGTATATATGTATATGCGAGTATATGTTTATATTATTGTTAGTATATGGTCTGATTGGGTGTTGGGCTGTCGCGATAGCATTATTACTGTTCTTTGATTTCTACTTTGGCGCTACAGCTGACCAGCATGTTGTTGTTGTTATTGTTGTTGTTGTTGTGTGGTGTTCACTATTCCGGCTGCGGCGACTAACACCGCTCTTTTGTTGCTTTGCCTGTTGGTGTTGTTGTTTTTGTTGCTGCTAGCATCATTGTTGCTGCTTGCTAGTTGCTATTGTTGTTGTTGTTGCCTGTTTGTTACTATTTCTGTTGCTGTTGCTTTTATGTTTTTTTGTTTGTTTGTTGTTGTTTTCATGTTTTATTGTTGTTGTTGTTGTTCTTGTTCTTATGTTTTTATTCTTGTTGTTGTTTTTATGTTTTTATTGTTGTTGCCACTGCTGTTTTCTGCTGATTGTATTCTAATCAAATTCAGCAGCAATGACTCATTTGAAACTATTTAAGCGTAGCTCTTATGAACTACAAGAACAACAGCGCAACAACAACACAAATGTAGCAATGATAAACGTCTTGTTGCGTCTTTTAAAATTGCAAACATTTTTATCGCATTGCAAAATTCAGCAAGTGAATGTGGAAATTTTTTGAATGTAATTGAACTTTGATTTGTTACTGTGTATAAAATATATAACAACAACAACACTAACAAAAAATATTTGAGGAATTTGTTTATGTGGAATTTTTTTTTGCATATATTTAAAGTTTTGAGATTCTTTTGTTGTTGTTGTAATCAATATTTATTTTGTTGTATTTTTTCCTTTAGTTCAATTTTTTTTTTATGACAAGTCTAATGTTCGTAAATTTGTTGTTCGTGTTTGTGATTCGTATCAACTTCTGGAGAATGATATATTTATGTATAAAAGTATGTATGATCTGTGTTTGCATATAATTTGGTAAGCATCAGTTGCTTTGATATTTCATCAGTTGTTTGAAAAATTTTCGGGCTGAAGAAATTTATCATTAATCTTCAGTTGCTGTGTGGCACAAATTTGGGATTAATATACATATGTACTTATATATGTTGGTATGTATATATTTATATATGGTTGGTATGCATGGTTGTTGTCGGTTTTCTTAAGGGAGTATTCTAGTCTTGAAATAAAAAAAATCAATTTTTTTTTTTAATATTTTTAGCTTAACTATTCAGGAATTTGTTTACAAGAAAATTTTTCAAAATTCAAATTATTTTCATAGATATATGTAGGTATTTTGCTGACCCGGCATTCATAGTGGTTCGGCCGGAACTAAAACCTTAAACGTCTTGTTCTCAAAACTGTCTTTTTCAAAACGATAACCACGATTTCTCAGATGCTACTGTATCGATTTAACTGAAAATTTTAGTGAGTCTTCTTTATAGAGTTGTCTTATGTCTGCAACAAGCCATATTTCCAAATTTCGATTTCTACTATTTTTTAAACATTCGTAACAGTCAAAAAAAAGTGTTAGACGCCATTTCGCGAAACAATTTTTTTTTCAAATTGCGGCATTATTATAGATTATTAATTTTTCTTTCTTTTTTTGTTTCAAAACGCTATGTGGGTTAAAATCGTGGGTATGGTCACATGCCAATTTTTAGATTTTTTTAGAGACCTCCTCTCCTTCCATGACTACTCTGCATTGTTGCTGCTCAATAATCCATTCAACAAACTCTCTTCGCTTTGCATGCTCATTAGGCTCTGTTGTTGTGTTACTTGAATTTTACTACATAATTGGCGGCAAATTTAAATTTTGCGTTAGTTTTGTGACACCCTTTATGCTACATACATTAATTCCAGTTAAAACGTGATTTTGGAAAAACTAACTCGTTGCTACCAAATCAATTATTAATTCTTACAATTTTTTTTTTGTGCAGAAATCTAAAACATTTAAGTTTTGATTGATTGGTAAAAGCTGTGTAATAGTTTGCGGATTTGTAGTGTTAGCATGGATTTGAAGCAAAGAGTACCTCTTTACGAGCTTTTGCTGAGATTAATTGATGCGGCCATATAATAGAACATGATATAGCCGACTGTAAACCAAGTCGCATAAGTTTTTGTGAGAAAACAGACAGTGTGAGAATACCATGTAGATAAAAGCGTAAAAGTTGTATTAAGTTTTAAGAAATTTCTCCTCACTTTTCTTACATTTGTTTACAGAAAATATTCGTGTTTATGCTGAAGAGCGTTAATTTCTTTAAATTTAACCTAAACTATTAACTAAAACTACCTAAACTATTAACTAAAACTACCTTCTGCCAAAGCCGATAGGCAGCCTATTTAGTTGCAACAATTGAGTCACAGCTGTGTACTCGCCGTTCTACATAATAACTGTTACTTATATGCGCTTTATAGAACACAAAACTTATTAGGTTGCTTATTTTTCAGTTTGGAAACTCAGAAAAATATGATAAAATGAAGGCAATAAACAAAAAGTGTTTTTAACACATATTTTGCCATAAAGTGGCCAGCTATTATAAAACGCTTTATTTAACATTTACTTTACTTGATTAATACTTTATCGATTTACGTGCTTAAAAATTTTTGTGCTTAAAACTTTTCGTACTTAAATCGTATTCATTGCATAATTCAGTATATAATAAAGTTTAACAATAAAAGGCTTACTTTTTGCGACCATTTTCTTAACTAAATTAAAAGCGCATTCGCAAAAGCATATCACATATTTGCTACCAAAATGCAGAGTTAGTTCACAAAAAGCACAACAACATTTAAATGAGAAAAGTTTGTATAATATTTTAATCTTCAAACTATTTAAATCAAGTCTATAGGCTGTGTTATAATTTCTACATTAATTCATGTGCCTGAACTAGTGAGCAATAGGCAGTATATAATAAAATTTTAGTACACATATTTGCTAGAAGCTATTAGAAAGCATAAAACTACATCAATTTTTCATATTAACTTTTTTCTGGATAATAATGCAACGATTCTTATACATTTTTGCTTTTAATCTTTCTTGAGTAAATTTATTGATTATGTTCATGAGAAGTGAGTGGAAATCGGAGACATTCCACTCAATCCCGGAATTTTCATGGCAACCTGCTACTCTGCCGCAATTTTTTGCAAATTTTTTCCTCCAACAATTGATGGATATATTGCAAAAACTCTAACGAAATACACTGCAAACTGAGTTTGAAATATCTGATATAATTTCTGTTAAATGCTTTGCTTACACAATTGTAGCTCTAAGTTGTCCAACTCGTATACGTATCTAAATAGATTTGACAATACTTGAATTAGTGATAGAAGTACGAAGCTTGAAAAATATTTCTGCAAATAAAATGCTAACAGCACATAATTTTTATCTGTATTAAAGCTGGCCGCACCTTTAATACGCGTTAAACTCTGCTTGTGTTTTGCGTAGCTGCGAGAAAACTCAAACAAATTTAATGAGCATTGAGAAGATTCATAAAAACTTTATGAAATATTTATTATGAAATCACTAAAAGTAGCAAAAAATAGTTAAACATTAATACACTTCAAGCTTGCGTGGCTTTAACAGACATTTCAAAAAAAGTTTCACACACGAAATGAGGAATAGCATAGCTGTGAGAATAACAGCAGCAATATGGCTGAGATGGGCGGAGATATTCGCTTTACAAATGGCGCTTATTAATACTCATATTTTAAGAGGAAATATAAAACTATATACACACATATATTATATATGCTTTAATGTAGGTTTTTATATATATATACTACATATATGATATGTATATATTGTACATACATGTTTATATGTATGTGGTATATGTATAACATATTACCTTTGATTTAGTTTCAGTAACTTTTAGGCTTATGGGATTAACTATCACACTATATACCTATGTGTATAACCAAACATATTTTTCTATTTCTCGCACACATACACACCTCTCACATATGTTTGCATATATGCTTTTGATGTAAAAGCTGACAGCAAAATTTTCTTAATATTTGCAATTAAATGAACAAAACTATTTTTTTTAGATTTTTGCATGAAGTTTAAAAAAATGTTACAGAAATTTTTTAGAAAATAATTATTATTTATGAATTTTTTGATTTGACATGTTTTTTGTAATTTGGCATAGCAAAGCGCTGCTTGCTTTGAAAACGAAATATTTTATTACAGATCCTTTGTACTCATATACTCTCTAACTATCTTGTTCTATTCATCATTTAATTTAGTAGAACTCATATGTGGTGAATATGTATGTATATAAAAGCAAACATATGTATATATGTATGTAGATATATACTTATATACATGTGTATTTTATGTATATTTTTATATTATATATTTTACGTTTCTCTAAAATTAAACGTTTTAAAATATTTTTTCTAAAATTTGTTAATATATTTTTTACTGAACTTTATTGATTTATTGCATTTATATATTCTTTTCACTTCTAATGAATTTTTGTCTATACTTTATTTACACATTTTTGGTTTTAAGTGCTATATGCGTCGGTATATGTATTTGTAGTGATGTTTCGCTATTTACGCTGCATTTTATGAGTAACCGTTAGACTTATATATATTTTCACAAACAATTTTTTTTTTTTTTGTTTTTGAAGCAATATTTTTTATTAACCGAAATTGGGTGTTCAGTTTTCTTTTTAGTTTTTTTTATTTTTATTAAATTTTCTTATTATTTTCTTATATAATTATTTATTATTATTAACTTTCAATTTAAATTTTTTAATATACTTAATTATTATTATTAACTTTTAATATTATTTTTTGTATAATTATTTATTATTATCAACCTTTAATAGTATTTTTTAATATTATTATTTATTATTATTAATCTTTAATATTATTTTTTAATATAACTATTTATTATTATTAACTTTTAAATATTTTTTTTAATAATATTATTATCATAAAAACTATTTATGTACTATTTACTATTTTTTTAAACTATAATTAACTTCATATGCCGCTAGCTTATTTCAGCCATTTTCAAACTTTTATGCACTTAAACAACTTCGCTCACACAGCCATATAAACGCGCTGCCTGTTCAAACACATTGCATAATCAAATTCTCTTAACGTTTATTATTATTATTATATGTATATATATATATTTTTTTTTTGTAATTTACATTTATCAACAGCACGCCGTGTAGCGCGTCGCAACGTTGCGTCGGTGTTTATAGCATTTTTATTTCGCGTCGTTAATATTGTATTGTATATCATGTGACTGAGTCGCGCGCCGCGCACAGATCCTTTATTGTGCACACCGGAATGGAACTTTTTTAGTAGCTCTTAAAAAAGCAAATACGCAACTAGGGTACAGTGGTTGGGCTGCCAGTTAAGTAAGTGCCCGAAAAATGTTTCCAATATCGCCCAAAAACCAAAAATTCAGTGTTAGAGTTCTCGTTACGGCGACGACGTGTATACAGTAAATACACTTCTTTCTCTTAGAAATCAGGATATCCTGGCGCAATGAAACGAACGCCAAGATTCGAACTAGAGCATATAAAACAGAGCGCAACATCAAAAGCGGCAGCAACAGCAACAGCACTTGGCTTAGCTGGCCAACTGACAGGCGACAGCGATGGCAATGGCGCTGGCGACGCCGACGGCGCTAATAGGCAATCAGCTGGCCAACATAGCGGTAGCGCTGGCAGCAGCACAATTTGTAGTTGAGTCAAGAACTGTAAGCATTGAAAAACGGTGCTGCTGCCGGCGCTACCAACAGTGCGTGCAAATAAATATCGGACCGCTTGTGAGCGCGCAGCCGACGGTGTTGCGGAGCTGTAGCGCTCGAAATTTGCAGCAGTTGAAGAGCGAAATGGCGCATATTATTGTTGCTTTTGTTATTATTGCTTTAACTTGTTTTGCGCTCCTTTAGCTTTTACTGCAAAATTGAGCGCCAAGCGTTTGCGGCGGCAGCGCTTCCATTGCACCACCACCAACACACGCCACTTGCCACTTGGAGCTCACTACAGTAGCAGCAGCTCACAGGCACACACACACACTCACAAAACACCAACCCATACACTTGTCGGCACTAATACACAAGCAACACTACGAATTGCACACACAAACAAACACACTTGAACGCGCTCACTCAGGCACTCACTCGCTGGGGCGCTTTTATGGGCACACGACGACGACGACAACGCGTACACGAGTAGCTCGAGCACTGCGTATGCGCTGAGTTGCTTTGCGAGAGCCCGTCACCGTACAATTACTTCGTTGGCGTAATGTGTGCCCAGCATAGACCGCGCGAAAATTCGCATTTCGTATGGACCTGCTGGCGTGTGCGCTTGCTGCCCAACGTCGAACGACGAATCCGCTCGTGTGTGCTTTGAAGCGCGCGCGCTGTTTGCAGCGGCATAAGACGACAACGACGACTGGCCACAGCTCGCTGGCTGGCTGGTTGGTTTAAACTACATGTGCAATGCCATGCAATAGCGACTGGCCCCGGTGCCAGTGCCTGTGCCGTCTTATCGCGGAGAGCCACACAATTTGAAGAAAATCATGCACACACTCTATCTGTGTGTGTGTGTGTGATAAAGGAAGAAGCGCAAAAGAGCAATGAAGGCACTTGCTTTGGCATACCGTTGGCGGAATTGCAAGTCAAGGCGTTGCTGTAACAGTGGCCAGAGTGTAGGCGAAACTTAACAGCGTTGCTTAACAGCTGCGCGGAGTAGTGCTGCGAGTACTGAGAGTTTATAAGCAGTTAGTTGATATTTTTTGCGATTGTTTTGTGCAAATAACAGTGGCAGGTGACACTAGCTTAGAAAATATGTAGTCAGAAGTCTTTCGATGTTAGAATTTGAGCGTAGGGGTTGTCTGTGCCACGTCACCTTTAAATCAGAATGGATGAAAGTGAATATCTCATGCAATGCTGGGTGAATTCATTGACACCACTAAGCTTATATATTAATATCTAGTTTAATATCTTATACATATAAGTTAGAGCATGCCTAATTAATTGTTTATTAGATGGACTTAAGTACATCAAAGCTTCCTTTTATATATTTGACTTAAAAATTTGAAATTTTGGAAAAATAAACCAGGCAGCTGTGTCATTAGTAAAAGTTAAATATTTGGATAGAGTTTTCAAAAATTTAAATTTCAAAATTTTGATTAAAAATCGTGTTCATGATAGCAGCGCTCATTTAGGAACGAAAAAACTTTTTAGGTTTTCATAAACTCGACAAGGGTAGATAATTTTTAATATAAAAAAAATCATAGTAGGATGAAACGCATTGAAAACGAAAGATAAATAAACAAAAATTAAAGCAAAAAGAATTTACATGTAATCTGATGTCGGGAAGTGGAAGGGTTGATGGCATGCCGCTCATTCACCGACAAAACTAAAAGTTCTATAGAAAAAAATTTAAATTTTTCGAGTTAAAAAGAAGTATTAATTTTGTATTTTCACCTTTTTACATAGCCTCAAAATGTATGTGAAAAATTCAAATATTCAAATTTTTGCGGTTTTTATTATTATCTTGTACAATAAAATTTTCTCTTACCAAATTTGGCGGACACTTACTTTCTTATGCCCCAAACACACTCCAATTTTTTTTCATTAAAATAATAAGGAGCTAATCGTATGTCGACTTAAATCAAAATAGTCCTAATTTGCAATTAGAAATTGTCACGACAATTTTTCAAAATTTTTTTAAAATTCAGATTTTGTTTGCTGAAACCTCCACTTTGCGTTGATCTAAAAGCTATACATTGCCATGGCAAATTGTCTCAGAAAATTTTTATTTCTTTATGTTTCTTTCGACAATGTAGAAATACCTATGTCAAACATGGCTAGGATGTCTCCATTATAATACTTATGTATAGTTAATTTTATTATTATTAGTTTTTATGTTTTCGAAAACCAATTACTTCATATCTCTTCATAACCTTTCAAAGGGGGTTAAGTAAAGATATTAAGAAAACTAATATCTTTTACCAATATTTTTACTAAACGTTTGTTACGATTAAGTAATTATACGTTAAGTTGTCTTTTTCAGTTTTATTTCTGTACTGATACATTAATACAATTTAAAAAAATTTTAAAAATTTATGAAATATTCTTAAAAACTTATTTTTAAAATGTTTCGAAGTTCCAAAAAGAAATGAATTTAATAGAAATAAAATTGAAAACTTTCAAAATTAATAAAAATAAAAAAATTTTTAAATATAACCTTCGATAAAAAATTGGTTCTGAAAAATTGCGTATTGTTTTTTTTGCAAGCCTTAAAATATCTATATAATCATTTTATACAACTTAAAGTTAATGTAATTAAGAATAAATCTTTAAAATTTGTTTTAAAATATTCCAAAGTTACAAAACTTGGTAAATTATTAATAAAAATTAATATTTAACTGACTAAAAGTAAATAAGTATTGAAATTATAGAGCAACAACATCTCTCAATAAAAAATATATTTCGCAAAATTGCATTATGTTGTTTTTTTTCACACATTAAATTTTTTTTTAAGCAATGCAAAATATTTCTTATTTACAAAAATTTTCCACAATATCTTTAAACTTAATTTTAAAATATTTAATAGTTCCAAAAATTAAAAAAAATATATTTAACTCTGTATTACAAATAGAAATGATAGAGCAATAACATCTCTCAGTAAGAAATTTGTTCTGCAAAACTGCATTATGTTATTTTAATTACACATTGAAGCATTTTGTATAGTTAATTTAAGCAAACTTAAATAGCTATTATATAATAAAAGAAAATTCACGCAAAATCTTTAGATTTATTTTAAAAAAATTGAATAGACAATTATCATTATAATTCAGTTTATAATATGTTACCGTCTGAATATGTTATACATTTTTTTACAAATTTTATTTCTAATTCTTTTTACAAACATTTTTATATTTATTTTATTTTTATTTTTTTAATTTTATATTTATCTAAATACTAAAAATCTCTGATTTAACAAATTCATTAAAAACAGAATGTTAAAAATCTGTTTTGGTCTCTGCTGTAAGAACGACATTGAGCCAGAACAAACAGAGAATGTTAATGTATTTGGAGCAGCGATTTCATTAACAGAATGGCCAACTGTGAAATAACATACAATTTCGAACATTGAAAATGGAAATCTAACAGACTTATAAAACCGTTAACTGCCGCTGTAATGAAAATATACATCAATAACATTCACTGCTGTTACAACAGAACAACAACAGAAACAATTATAACAGCAGCTATTTAAACATTCTCTGCTAACACCGGCGACAACAACAGAGCGCCACCAACAGCAAGCAATACAGCTAATATTTCACACACTATAGTTCGACCGCTCGCACTAGTGCCGTTAACAGTAACCAATATGGACGGGGTTGGAAGTGATTATAATTCACTGGCGGCATTTAATAACTTCAATGATAATAAATTGCAACAAAAAAGCAAATAATAAATGAGCACAAGTTAAGACATGTGTGTGTGCGAATGGCTGCTCATGCCTGCGCTTGTGTGCGTTTATGGGGCTTGTGAATGTTTGTGTACAAAAAAAATGTTCCTACCACTTCCCTCGCAGTTGCAAATTTACGTTTGTGTTCGTTTGAGTGATTTTCATTGCTGCGCAGCGCTGCTGCTCTTGCCTGCGTCGGCGCAGAGAGTGAGCAACGAAGAGCGCCACTCACAATTGTTGTCGTAGTATTGGTTGTAGTGTAATAAGCAAAGTAATAAAAAATGCTATACAATAAAAACAACATCAACATAAATAATAATGAAAAAGAAGAAGACGAGCAACGTATGTAGCAACAACAACAAATATAACAAAAACAACAGTAACTGTGTGCAGTAACAGCAAATTATGACAACGTTAGGCGGAGCGAAAAAATTTTTCTTCTCAATCAAATTATTTGGCGTATATTTTTTTTCGATTATTGTTGTTGTTGTGTATATATTTACATTTTTATTTCTCATTTTTCATTTCATTTCATTTCAATTTGTTATGTTATATTGCCTTTTGCTATATTTCATACAAAATGCGTTGTAGCGACGGCAAATCGTTCGGTGTGTTTGGTGTGCGTGCTCGGCGGAAGGCTGGCACAAAATTTAATAACGAATCAAATACGCGACGGCAGTTGCCAGCGCTTGTGCTTCCCACTCACCCACTGCTGGTTGGCTGTGGTGCTCGCTCTGCATGAGGCTGGCTGTGCAGGGTGTTCATGGTCTGTGCAGCGCTTTGCCGTCGCTGGCTTGGCTTTGCTGCTGTGCCATCATCAGTAATATTCTCACGATTTTGCTGCAGAAATTTTGCGCTTAATGAAAATGTTACTTATTGCTAGAGATATGAATACATGGATATCTACGTTTGTATGTTTTTATGTAGGCATGTATGTACATGTGTATCTTAATATACATCCTGACGCAGTGCTATTACAGTCATATATACCTAAGTATGTAACAGAACATTTTTTTTCTCCTATCACAAACTTGGAAAAGTTATAAATTCACTGTTTATCTACTTTTATTTGTTTCGCAATTTCTTGTTGTGTGTTTGCACATATTCTTTG